TTAGCTATTGTTGGAATGAAATTGTACGATGAAATTCTTGAATCATAAAGGAGGAGACATAATTGAGTGATAAATATGGGAGGGGAGAATTAAGAGATAGTGGTTGATTTGGAGTGAAAGAGTTAATTAAGCAGATAATTAATCAATCCTAGTTTTAAGATATGTGGGTATCTAATAATCTAATTGTATCTTCAAATAATATATTAATATATGGTATAAAATATTAAAAGTGGTAATATATGTAATTGTTTGAAAGTAAAGATAATATTAGTATATATAGTAGTGATGTATGTCTAATAAGGTAGTTTATCCTTTTTCCAATACAATGGCCCACTTCCAATTCCCATTCCCAATCCCACAATAATACCCAGCCCAAGATACACTACAATTCCATACGTACAACGGCCCACTCTCCACTCCAACCGACCCAGCCCATTACTCTCGACCCGGCCCACTTTTTATTCCTTCACAAGAACCCAGAAGCGGTGCCTTCACAGCGTGAACAACAATTCCCAGCAAAACGACATCAACAACGCCAAGAACGACATCAAAATTTGGTCAAATCCAGTGATCCTCCAAGTCCCAGCACGCGACGTCTTCGTGGAAGGCAACACGGCGTCTACGCGTGCAGTTCACGCCCGCATCGTCTCCTTCGTCCAGTACGATGGTACTGTTCCAATAAGATTTTTCGGCAAAAGAAAAGCATCGCAGCAGGACAAAGACACGCATTTCCCCTTTCCTCTTTTGGAATGGGGAGAAAATTGCAAGGAAAGGTGTCTCTCCTTAATTGTGAAAGAATTTTTGAAATTTGAATGGGGATAAGCCCTTTTCTGTCCGGATTTCTATTTGTTTCCCCCCATTCCGAACTCTAATCTCCTCCTATAAAGCATCTTTTTCTTTTAGTTTGAAAGGGGGACAAAAAATTTCCTTTTGCTAAGAAAGAGCATAGCGTAATAAAATAGCTACACATACGAAATACGTTCTGAAAAGGGAGAGAGATTTGATTCCAATCCGAGTGCCATTATTTTCTTTCGTTTACTTCCGTTTCCTCCAAGTCCCTTTGGATTTTAGATTCTGCTCAAGTTTTTTTTTTCGGTCGATCACTTGTATTTGGGTTTTGTGGCGGAAAATCGTGGTCATCAGCTTGTCTCGCCTTTGTTCGCTGCTCGAAAAAAGGTGAAATTTGCTCTGAGTCCTCTTGGACTCCATTTTTCTCCACTTCATATTTCGGATAAGCCATAAAGGCCCAAAATTTTATCGAGTCAACGGGGTCAATGAATTCGAAGAACAGGTCCTTCACAAATTGACAAACCGGGATTAGAGTTGATGCGGATTTTTATACACTAGGTGTATACGAAAAATGGGAAAAGGGATTCAAAAGACCTATTCCTTATTTTATAAGTTGAATTTTTTATTTTGGGGCCTAAGCCCTAGTTATTTTACTTATTATTGCCTCGCTAGAATTTATGACAGGTGGCAAGAATTGGGCCGAAGGCCCAAGATGAAAATGGGCCCAAATACTGGCCCAGGCGGACAGAAAAACCAGATTTGGGCCCGACTCTCTTTCCCTCTTTACTTTATTGTGTTCATTTTACTTGGTAGTATTTGTCGTTAATCTTAAGGCCGAAAAATTCAAATCCCCGAAAGAGGCCTATTTTGATTTAATAACTTAACTAAACCGATCAGCTCTTACAAAATTAAATAATAAGTTTACAAAATATTTTGCTTAGATAAGTATTTCTGCATTTTATTTTTCTCTTAAAATGGTCCTAACTAACAAATAGTTCAATTTTGCAAGTTAAACTAAGTTAAAATTATTTTAGCCAAATAATTAATTGTCGGATAACCGCATTAGCGGGTGTTCTAGGTGCTTTCAAACCCTTCCTAGAACACTAATATGAACCCCCGAACCCCCTTTATATTTTCAATTGATTCCCTGTTTTGATCTATTGAAAAAATAGTTTTATTGATTTTTCTTTAAAAATTAAATGGCGACTCTAAACCAATCTTTGTCTATTTTTTAAAACATCGGTTTACTTGGATTGGAAAATATTATATGTAATCTGTCTACGTGTGTTGTTTAACTTGGCAGATAGAGAGCAATGGTGTTTATAAGAGCATTGAGCACAGAGCAATTGTAAACTCAAACAAAGAGAGACTCTCAGTTGCAATGTTGTTTTTTCCTCTTCTTTTAGGAGGTGATAGAGGAGAAAAAGAAATTGGGGAATCAAGAAATTCAGCTCAAACATTAATGTAAGACATGCTAAGAAAGGCACCTTGAATGAAGTCTGTTGTGATCACTCAGGAGACATTTTTGTATTCATTGTATTAGACGAAAAAATTACTTTGTAAATAAGTTCCCATTGAAATAGTTTTCAGAAATTATTGAATTAATTTATACTGATGCTGTCGTGGCCAATCTTTTAGCCATTCTCAATATAACCATATCTCATGATCCTTTCTCAGGATTGAGAATCAAAGAGTGAATACGAATAACTCAGGATTCCTACACAAACACATTAAAAACATAGAAAAATTGTGCCTTTCTGATAGAAGTCAAGAAATGGCCATTTCATGAAAAAAAAAATGAAACAAAAGAACTCAGTATGGAAAAAAAGGAAAATACACTTATATTAAGAGAGGAGAAATCATTGAAGAGTGGTGAAGACCGGAAGAGCGAGGATTGAGCAGTGAAGTGTAGGATCTATTTATTTGTGCTTTTAGAAAAGTCTTTTTGTAATGTGTACTGTTATAAACAAGCTGAAGCTAGAAGTCAGTTATTATGAATAGTGAAACTTTGGTTGAGCTAGATTAACTAGATTAGAAGGTTATGAGTAGACACACTATAAATAGCATAGTGCCAATATTGTGTAAAGATACATTCATTTTTCATGAATAAAAGTTACAGTTTTCTCTCTAGTTCATTAGTGAATCCATAACCGTGTTTTACCATTGTTGAATCTCATCATGGTATCAGAGCCATCGATGATCTACTGATTATCTCTGCATTTTTTTCGATTCTCTACTTACAGTGACAACTTTCTCAAAAGGAATTGCATTGTTTGAGAAGTAGTTGAATCTATATTGTTTACGTTGTTGTGTAGTCATCAATGACGATCGGTGGAATGTCAAACTTTGATTCTACCATTCCTACAGCTGTAGGAAAAGAGTTTACAAGTGATTCTCATCATCCGCTGCACCTGCAAGCATGTGACACTCCAGGTAGCTCTCTTGTCTCTTTACAACTTACTGGATCTGAGAATTATTCTCTGTGGAGTAGATCAATGAAGATAGGTTTGCTAGGAAAAGGAAAAATAGGTTTTGTTGATGGTGCTAGCTCAAAGGATAAGTTTCCTGCTTCTCTACATGCTTTGTGGAAAAAATGTAATGCCATTGTTCTCTCATGGATCATGATCTCTGTTAGTCGAGAGCTTCTTAGTGGAATTGTCTATGCTAGTAATGCTCAACAAGTATGGACAGATCTCAAAGAGAGATTTGACAAAGTGGATGGCTCTCGTATATTCTATTGCACAAGGAAATTGCTACACTCAATCAAGGAGTCTCATTAGTTTCAGTCTATTTCTCCAAACTTAAAGAGTTGTGGATGGAATATGATTCACTCATACCGTGTCCTGGTTGTGCCTGTGATGTATCACAGACATATGCTGTTCATTTTGAGTACCAACGTTTAATGCAATTTCTTCTGGGTTTGAATGAATCCTACAACCAGTGTAAGAGCCAGATTATGATGATAGATCCATCTCCAAGTGTTAACAAGGTTTATTCTCTAGTGATTGCAGAAGAAACTCAGAGGATACTTGTCAAGGCTAATTCAGTTTCTGTTGGTGATGATTCCTCTAACACTAGGCACATGAATGAAGCTCTAGCATTCTTCAGTGGCAACAATCCAAATCACAACTTCTCTAGTTCCAGTGGATCAGGTGCTGGTGTCTCCAACTTCAGATCTAAGAAAAACTTCAATAGTCACATGTACTGTGATTATTGTAACTGGAAAGGCCATACAAGAGATCATTGCTATAAGCTTCATGGATATCCCTCTGACTGGAAGGGTAAGAAGAGGACAGGTCCTAACTCTGCTAATTTTGCATGATCCACTGCCAGTCCTGGTGGATCTTCAGGGCAGGCTTCTTCTGGTGGTAATAACTCTATTCCTGGTGGTGTTCCTGATGCTTTTATGACTAACATACAGCATTAACATTCACCACAACCACATCCTCACTTTTCTCACCAACAGTACATGCAAATTCTGCAACTCCTTGATCATGGAACTGGAAAGAATGACACAGATTCAACTGTGAGAACCACAAGTATATCCTCTACTGATAAGTGGATAGTTGATTTTGGTGCCTCCAAACACATGGTTCGTAATCTGCACATGTTATCTCATTACAAACCATTAACTCATTCACAAGAGGGAAGAGTGTATCTACATACTGGTAAACTTGCCACAGTCAGTTACATTGGATCATCTCAGATTCTAGGAGGAATTGAGATTACGAATGTCCTGCATATTCCTAAGTTTCAGTACAACTTACTCTCCGTGTCTAAAACTCACAAAGGAATTGAACTGTACTGTTCTTTTCTACCCTGACTTTTGCATTTTTCAGGACCTCTTCAATGGGGGAGTGAGGGGGATTGGCAAGTTGGAGAATGACATGTATGTGCTCACTACTGACTGTCAGTTGCAGTCACAAGGATCTCAACTACATGCAGTCTCACATCATGATCAATTCACTCCAGTCTTTACGTCTTGTTCTGTAGCTTCCGCATATCCTTCTAGAATAAATTTGTCAGTATGGCATAAAAGGCTTGGTCATGTACCTTTTACTACTCTAAAAAAGTTAAGTTGTTTCAAACATCTGCATTCTACTACAGATGATCTTTGTATTGTGTGCCCTTTGGCTAAACAATCTAGACTCTCTTTCCCTTTGAGTAATACTACTACTACTGCTTGTTTTCACACATTACATGTTGATGTTTGGGGTCCTTATAGAGTTCCAACTCATGATGGTAAAAGGTATATTTTAACTTTGGTTGATGATTACTCCAGATACATATGGTTGATATTATTGAACTATAAATCTGAGGTCATAGTAGCCTTAAGAAAGTTCTTGTTAATGATTGGCAATGTGTTTAGTGCATCAGTAAAGATTCTGAGGTCTGACAATGAGTGTGAATTCTTTAATTCACAAATGAATGAGTTACTCCAATCCCTAGGCATCCTGCACCAAAGTTTCTGCATCTACACACCTCAACAAAATGGTGTTGTAGAGAGGAAACATAGACATATCCTTGATGTTGCTAGGTCATTAAGGTTTCAGTCTAATATGCCTCTTAGGTTCTGGGGTGAGTGTGTTACCACTAGTGTCTATTTAATCAACAGGTTACCTTCTTCTATCCTTCAGGGCAAGACTCCTTATGACCTATTGTATCACACCTCTCCTTCTCTCACTCATCTTAGAGTCTTTGGTTGTCTGGTCTTTGCTTCTGAAGTGAGGAAAGCTGACAAATTTGCACCTAGGGCATTTCCTACTGTTTTTCTTGGTTACTCTACTCTCCAAAGGGTTACAACTCTTCTCCTTGCACACCAAAGAGTTCTTAGTCAGCAGGGATGTAGTCTTCCAAGAGGAGGTCTTCCCTTTCCAGCACAACACCTCATCTTGCTCTCCATTATTTCCAATTGTTCAGCTTACTTCAACTTCTATTGATTCTTCTTCTCCAGTTGAGTATACACCTACTGCTGCTCCTTCTAATTGTTCATCACATACACCTCCTGCTTCTTCTCCTGATTGTCCATCACACCCAGTGTCTCCTAGTTCTACTTCTTCTGAGGTTGTTCCTACAGTTGTTCTACCTGATACCACCCTATCTCTCAGAAGATCCTCTAGACTATATAGACCTCCTATCTGGCATCATGACTTTCTTCTTTCCAAACCCAAATCCTTTTGTCTCTACCCTTTATCAAATCATGTCAGTTATCATTGTCTGTCTACTAAGTATGGTGCTGCCTTAGCAGCATATTTTAGTATTTCAGAACCTACGTCCTTTCATAAAGCTTCTCTTGATCCTTTATGGGTTCAAGCTATGCTTGCTGAGATCACTGCTTTAGAAGAGAACAATACATGGAGTATCACTGATTTACCTCCAGGCAAATATCCCATTGGATGCAAGTGGGTTTATAAAGTGAAGTATTTGTCTTCAGGGGCTATTGAGCGGTACAAGGCCAGGTTAGTTGCTAAGGTTTTTAACCAGCAAGAAGGGTTGGACTACTCCGATACTTTTTCCCCTGTAGCTAAGATGGTTACAGTGAGGTTAGTTCTAGCTATAGAAGCTGCTAAGCAATGGCCTGTTTTCCAAATGGATGTCCATAATGCCTTTCTTCAAGGTGATCTTCTTGAGGATGTTTATATGGTTATTCCTCCTGGTTTTTGCAGACAGGGGGAGTCTGGCAAAGTCTGCAAATTGCATAAGTCACTTTATGGATTGAAACAGGCACCTAGACAATGGAACCTTAAATTGACTGAAGCATTACTACAGCTGGGATTTATTCAGAGTCACTATGATTATTCCCTATTCACTAGAATAGAGGGCAATGAGTTAATATTGGTCCTTGTATATGTAGATGATCTGTTAGTGACTGGGAGCTGCAGCAAGTTGATAGTTAAGACCAGAAATGATCTTAAACTCAGGTTCAAGATGAAGGATTTAGGAGAATTGAAGTTCTTCCTTGGAATTGAATTTGCCAGAACTAAGGAGGGATATATCATGAGCCAGCGCAAGTATGCTTTGGAACTTATCTCAGAAATGGGATTAAGTGGTGCCAAACCAGTCCATACACCACTGGATCCTAATATACGATTAACATCTATTGAGTATGATTCACATGTACAAGATACAGATACTACAACTAAAGACAAACCTTTGCTAGTTATTGGCAGATATCAAAGACTTGTAGGTAGATTACTATACCTAACAATGACCAGGGTGGATATTTCGTTTGCAGTACAAGTGTTAAGTCAGTATATGCATGCTCCTAAAGAATCCCAGATGGAAGCTGCACTAAGGGTATCAAGTATATAAAGTCATCACCTGGATTGGCCTGTTCATGCCTTGACAGAGTTCAGAGTTGTTAACAGTCTATTGTGACTCAACTGGGGTACCTGTTGCAAACAAGGAGGTCAGTTACTGGATACTTAGTGTAGGTTTGGTGATGCTCTTGTATCCTGGAAGTCAAAGAAACAAGAGACTGTAGCAAGAAGTTCTGCAGAAGCAGAGTTTAGAAGTATGGCATCTACAGTAGCTGAGATTACTTGGCTCATTGGCTTATATAGTGAACTGGGAGTGAAGATTAAGCAGCCAGTTGATCTATTTTGTGACAGCAAGGCTGCAATACAAATTGCAGCCAATCCTATTTTTCACGAGAGAACTAAACACTTTGATATTGACTGTTATTTTGTTAGAGAGAAGCTGGTTAACGGAATGATAAAAACTCACCATGTATCCACAAAAGAGCAGCTAGCAGACTTACTTACAAAGGGTCTATGGAAATTTTCACACTTGTATTTAATGTCCAAGCTGGGACTTAAAGACATATACCAGCCACCAACTTGAGGAGGGATGTTATAAACAAGTTGAAGCTAGAAGTCAGTTATTATGAATAGTGAAACTGGAAAGTTAGTTATAGAGTTTGTTACAGTGTTAGTTAAAGTTAACTCTGGTTGAGTTAGATTAACTAGATTAGAAGGTTATGAGTAGACACACTATAAATAGCATTGTGCCAATATTGTGTAAAGATACATTCATTTTTCATGAATAAAAGTTACAGTTTTCTCTCTAGTTCATTAGTGAATCCATAACCGTGTTTCACCATTGTTGAATCTCATCATGTACTGACAGAGAATTTTCAAAGAGACATACATCTTATCCTATACTCCCTCCGCCCCTATTTACTTGTTCACTTTTTCTTTTATAGTTGTTCCTAATTACTTGTCCATTTTGACAAATCAAAAAAGGACAAAAAATATTTTCCATGGTAAATTCATTATGTCAATAATTGTTTTCTTAATAGGTATACCAATTCAAAAGTGGACAAGTAATTAGAGACAAGGGAAGTATTAACAAATTAAATAAGTAAAGTTGTGATCGTCTGATTGAGTTCGAAAAAAAAATGAAGGAAGAGGAAAGCTAACTATCAAAATCAAAATCAACTGTCTCAAGGAAGTTCTTTTCTTAACCCAAAATTTCAATTTTAGTTTTTTTCTTTAACACAGTGTCATTGTAGACAGAGAATTGCCACCATAGTACATCACAAAGTAAGGAAATTCGAGAAGAAGACATGAATAAAACTATAGGTAAGAAATTATTGAAAATCTTCTGAGATCATCCCGTGCAGAATGGGAGTTGGTAACTTAAGGAGTGGCTTGATAAAATCAATTACTCCATGCTTATTCTAGAGAAGCCTTGTTGATAATGAAAGGTGTAATAGATATTTTCTATTTTGTGGATCTGAGGCAGCCACGTAATTAAAAGTACAAAATATCTTGAATGAAAATAATGTCCACCTCATGGTTTGCTTGAACAATTTGCCCTTTAAATGAACATTTATTTACAATAAAAAAAATGTCGGTGGTCGTCCTCCACTTCTCTTTTCTATATAGTAGAAATAGAAATATAACATACATCTTCAACCATCTCTTTATTATTTTTTGTTGTAATTTATTTGTTTAATATATTTTTATTAGTATAGACATTGTTAGTAAATATTTTTATTTATATAAAGAAAAAGAAACATAAATTAAGTAGGAAAAAAACAGAAGATAAATAATTAATTAAAGAGATGGACAGACGGGGTAAAATTTTGTACTTTATGGATATATTTTGTTAAATTGTTCATTAGGATCAAATTTGGATACATACCGTGTGGACAATTTATTTGTTTTTCTCTATTATTAATAAAAAAAATAAATCCAACCCCCAAAGTCACCTGAATATAGGTGACTAATTAGGCAAAACGTTAACTATGATTAGAAATTGTATGTATATTACCGAAAATTTTTACTATGTGTGAGGTATGCCAAATCATACTTGTATGAGGCATTATTTAACTGATAAAAGGACATGGATGGGACACATCTGCCATTTTTTTTGTTTTGTTTTACCCTTAGTTCAATATATTTTTTGTTTCCATTTTTTTGAATGTTTTTATCATTCTTAACTAATCTAATTAGTTTATGTTTTTTTCTTTTTTATGTAGTGAAGTTTGATTTATTTTTTTATGATCATTGTATAAGGTTTTAGTTTATTATATTAATATATACTTTTTCTATTCTATGTTATTTATTTATATTATAATAAATAGTTGTTTGTAATTAATTTTCAGTTTATAAAATCAAAGATATAAGTAACTTTTTTAATCCTAACAATTATTTTTTATTAAGAGTATAAATAAAATTTATAAAGTCGCTAATTATTTTTAAGGTATAGATTAATAAAATTATCATTTTTATTTATATTTTCCTAAGAATCATGTAAGGAAAGTATATAAACAAAATATTTATTAAATTTCACCTACTTTAAATTTCAGGAATAAAAAATATCGTATAAATTGACGGAAAGATTACGTATTTATGTAGGTGTTTATGGATATTTTTTATTTTTGAATTTCGTGAAAATAGTATCAAAACTTATGCAATTGTTTGTCAAGATCATTGCTGCTCTTTCCGTTATATTTTCTTATTGAAGAGTATATGATGGATTTAAGTGCTTTTGAAAACATGAAATTGTTGAGAGAAGAATAAAGGAATAAATTAATTTTATACCTTCTTTATTTTTCATATTAATAGTCTACTTTTTCTTTTACGAATTTCTTAAGAAATCATAAATAAAGATATGATCTTGAAGGCATGGTTGAAGATTTCTCTGTTTTGTAGATATTTTTTGCTAAGGTAATTTCCTATTCTGTAATTAGAAACACTGATTTAGGGCTTTAGGCTTTGTTGTCCTTTAGTGGACATGGGCTGATCTGGGCGTTTTTTACCCTTTTTGTTTAATAAGATGCGTCTGGCCTATCTTTAACTTAAAAAATATATATATTTGGGTTGTACTTTATGAACAAATTTGGATAAATACTAGATTGGACAATTGATATAGTTTTCCCTTTTATTAGTTTAAAAAAAAAAATTCAACCCGCCCAAAGTCACTTGATGCTAGGTGACTAATTAGGCAAGATATTGACTTGTGATAAAAAAACGTATATTTACCTGCCAGATGGATCACGTGTTTCCTTTTATATATCCTTTCATTCAAAAAATAAACTAAAATTGAGATAAGGCCAGATAAATTTAAGATGAGAAATCAAATTCTTTCATGATAACCAAATTCAGATAGTGAACGGAACATACTCTAGACAAATAAACATACCCATTTATTTTATTTATATATATATAATACACGTAATTATTTCACATCTCAATAAGTTTACTTTCAAAAACAAGTTCTACTTCCAAAAAAAGAAAACTTCATCAATGGAAGAAGGAAAGTCGAGAAAGCTAGGTGGTTCTCTGAAAGTCCCTAACGTTCAAGAACTTGCAAAGCAACAACTAGCAGCCGTTCCACCGCGATATATACGTGATGATATTGAAAATCAATCATATTCTTCCATAGTAATATTGCCTCAAGTTCCCGTTATTGATATGAAAAAATTGCTGGAAATTGGAGATATTGATGATGATTCGGAGCTCGAGAGGCTTCATCTTGCTTGCAAGAATGGGGATTTTTCCAGGTTTATATATCAAACACTGTTCATTTTTTGTTTTGATGTTACATAAATGTTGGAGTTGACTTATTTAGCCATCAACAATACAACCACTTGCACCCGAAAATCTATTATTGTATCGACCATATCTTTTAATTTTAAAATAAATTGGTGTACCTTCGTGTCCCACGATGATATCGATTTTTAAAAAAATACATGTGCAGTTGGTGAATCATGGTGTGAATTCATCATTGATGAAGAAAGTGAAATCGGAAATCAGAGCATTTTTCGATCTACCAATGGAAGAAAAGAAGAAATTTGAGCAAGAAGAAGGAGATCTCGAAGGATACGGGCAAGCATTTGTTGTATCTGAAGAACAAAAGTTAGATTGGGCTGACATACTTTACATGATCACTCTCCCTACTCATTTAAGAAAACCTCACTTGTTTCCAAAGCTTCCCGCCTCACTCAGGTACCATAATATATAACTCAGTTTACGATTAAATATTTAGTGAATCTTTTTTCTTTACAATATTTAATTTCTTGGACCTTCAAGGGATGCATTGGAACAATACTCAACAGCACTGAAGGAACTTGCTATGAAAATTCTGTACGTAATGGCAAGAGCTTTAGGGATGAAAGCAGAGGATATGAATGTACTATTTGAAGAAGACGGGACACAAATGATGAGAATAAATTATTACCCTCCTTGTCCTCAACCAGAGCGCGTAATGGGGTTATGCCCTCATACTGATGCTATTGGTCTAGCTATACTACTTCAGGTTAATGAAACGGAAGGTCTTCAAATTAAGAAAGATGGTGCTTGGATTCCGGTTCCATATCTTCCTGATGCCTTTGTTGTCAACATTGGAGATATTTTAGAGGTGAGAAATAAGTATATATGTATGGTGTAACGTAAGACATTTTTCAGCGTGGGAAAAGTTATTTTCTAGTGTTAGGTTATGAGAAAACGTAACTTCTCAATGTTGTCTTATGTGCAGATTGTGACAAATGGAATTTATAAGAGCACTGAACATCGAGCAATTGTGAATGAAGACAAAGACAGAATTTCGATTGCTACATTTTTGAGCCCCAAATTGGATGGAGATTTAGGTCCAGCTCCTAGCCTCCTCACTCCTCAATGCCCTGCAGAATTTAGGAGGATTGGAGTGGCTGATTACTTCAAGGGATATTTCTCTCGAGAGCTCATTGGAAAATCATATGTCGATTCTATAAGAATTAGAAATGGAGATGACGGAAGCAATTGATCAATGTTTGCATTTTATGCCGCTTGGATACCAACAGCTTGTTTGATTTGGATGGATTTGCTACTGTATTATTTTGTAAATGTATAATGTTTGAATAAATTGTTGCATTTGTTGTGGTTTAATAACATCATTATTGTTTGATTTTAATGTATCAAATCGTATATTAGCTACCTACATGGTTGAATGGAGCGATGTGTCCAAGTTCTGCATGCCCTGTGCTACTTGGAGAAGATGCTCAACATCTACTTCAGGGAAATGTTGTAAAAGCTTTAAGCTGTCAACAAAATCACCCCTAATTATTTTGATTTTAACACACATCAGCATAGCACAACAGATCCTCAATAGCATCTCCTGTAAATGAGACACGGAGTTGGATGAGAGTGTCTTATATATTAGATCAACCACGATATCCATACATATAAACACACATTATATATTGTAGTCCAAATTGGTCGGAGAAGTACCTGAAGGCCAAAGGGATTGCTGAGAAGCGTATCCCAGATCCTTAAGATGTGATGCAAGCTAAACTCCTGAGTAAGGAGCAGAGTGATCCACCTAAATGCATAGAATTGCGGGTTAACCTGAAATCAAAACGTTAGCTAGGACGACTGATATATATGTGAGCAATAACTTTAGCTATTTATAGCTGTGCTTAAGAAATAGGTTCACATTCACCTTTGTTTTAAATTCAAGATGGTGCCACAATTCCACATCATTAGTTTTCAATAACTCTGACAATTTCGAAAGAGTTGAGTGGATACCAAAAGAACCACAATCAAATTGTTGACAGAAGTGATCCACACAGCTACTCATTAGTATAACAAAACAGGAAAAAGTATCTGCTTCTAAATTTGCCTGCATAGCCGGAAAAAAAAACAAATGAAGCTTCTACTATTTACGAAAGAGTTGGCGAAGGCATGAATATAAACTGTAAGAGCAAATTTGAGGAAGACACTTACAGCAGTATGCTCATCATTATCGGTGCTGAAGACATAGTACAACGGGGCCAAGACCTCATTCATGCCTTGTACATAACTAATTGCAGGATTTAATTTCGCAAACAAAAGAAGAATATTTCTCATTGACTCCTGTAAAGCAAAACATAAATTCAAAAAGAAAAAAATATCACAGACGAAAATGTTAACATTAGGAGTTGAGAGATATAAGCAAAATGTTACCTTATTCTTCCTAGATAGTGATGAGTCTCCTGAGAAGAACTCTAAATCTGGATGAGTTCGCTGCAAATCACGGTCTATCTGCTCCGAAATTTCTGTAAACTACAAACACCACCGTTTGTTTTCATAAAAAAAAAGGTCTTCATGTGATGTAAAAGGTTGCAGAAGAACTCGCGGTGTAGTAAGTACTTGCCTCAAAGTACTGATGCCATATGCTAGTTTTACCTAAACTTAGTGGATGATCATCGTCTTTAGAAATGTTGTAGCGTTTAAGGGGCTCAATGACTCCGCTGCAAGTGTCGTGTCCAAGCAATATCATGCTTTTATCTTTTCGCCATGACAATTCTGACTGGCTAGATTAAAGAGTTCTATGAACAAGCCATAACAAAAGGGACCAGTTAAGACCATAACTTACAACGTTATGCAGCTTACAGGTTTTCGTAGAAACTCCTCTTTTAGCTTGTCATATTTCAATCGACTCTCGTTTAACTCCTTCTCCCATAAGTCTCGAGAAGTAGGTAAATATCCCAATAGTATCTGCAACTTATAATCATTAAAAAACAGAGTTATAATGCTTATACTAAAGCAATCAATTAGGGTAATTAATAACCTTCCAAATTGTTGCTCGCAAACTCCTTCCATCAGGAATACCTGAACTGGCAAGTCGTTGCAACTTCTCCAAATTAATCTCCTTTCGAGAAATCTGTTTTACAAACAACATCAATAATCAAAGAATGCGACAATGAAGTAGTGATCACCTCTAAGCAAAGAGTGGAAACAATGAAAATTGTGATTAACAGTCTCACCTCATATTCAAGATCAGATCGTTTTTCATCATCGTTGCAGGCGTGCAATACAATTGATCCCAAATTCCTATTTTTATTTTGGGGAAAACTTATAAGCTCATCATCAAAATCATAACATCGATCCTTAATCATCTGTTTCAGAGCAAAATCGCGAGTCAGATCAAATGTCTGTAATTCTTCACCAGATTCAATTTCTTCATAATTACTTTCTTCTCTACCATGATGGAAGCCATTGATCACTAAACCTCCAATCCTTTCAGGAAATACTACTAATTTCCTCGGTTTTTCTGGAACGTTGAGCTTGCTAATTTTAGGCATCATTGTCTCGAAAGCACGAATGAATCGAGGAAACAAGAGTTTCTGCTTCACTTCAGAAGAAAAAAAAAGATTTTCTTTTGAAGGATTTTGGTTTCCATCTTATTTTTCAGTGTTTTTCAGAGAGGGAGAGGAATGACAGTTAGCCGTTTGAATGGTAGGCGGCTTCTTTTCCTAAAAAAATAAAACCATAATAAGCTGAATTTTTTAAGTATGATAAAAAATTCTTTCATTTAAATAAGACAAATACATAAATATGTTTTTATTAACTTTGTCTTATTTCACATTTTTGCTCTCGTATGTGTACATAGAGACACTTAAACTTGTATAAAGTTGAATAAGTAAACACATGAGTCATATGTGCAACAATACACGTAGGACATCACGTAAGATACAAATCATGTAGGATGTGACATATAATGTGTATATATCTATTTGTTCAATTTTATACAATTTTAAGTGTCTACTTGTGTACATGCAAAGTTAGATGACATAAATGTGAGGTAATGCCAAGTTAAAAAACATATTCACGTATTATGTCTTTAAAGTATTAAATTTTTCTTTTTAATAAAATAGAAAAGATTTTCATTTCTCAATATTTTTGGAATTGAACAATGATATAATCATTGATTTTAAAGTTAAAATAGAGCAAAAGAGAAAATGCGTTGAATAACCATAAATCATGTTCTTGTGAATTGGTGATGTATGCTAATGAGAAAGTCCCAACCGTTTGTAAGAATAATTTCAATAACGATTTACTATTGTTTTTTCTGTCGTTTTCTTTTCTTATTGTTTCTCAATCTTGCTTTCAATGGTCAAATATAGTTGCTGAAACTGTTCCGGTAAATTTGGTACCTCACGATTAAACAATGGAAAATGGCATAAATAATTAAAAAATTAAAAATTATACTATTATATACTACTTATATGGTTTTGGAAGAGACTGATTAAACCCAAACCCAAATTAATAGAAATTTTTCAAGTTTGCAACAAAAGCAAATGGAGTCAACGCCGGGAAAATTATACTTTGGAAAATCTCTGTTAGTTCCAAGTGTTCAAGAGCTTGCCAAACAGATTCCGGCTAGGTATGTCCACCCAGAGCAAGAAACTCCAGTCATATCCACCGGAGCGTCGGTTCCAGTTCTCGATCTTCAAAAGTTGATATCAGGGGATTCCATGGATTCTGAGCTTCACTCTGCTTGCCAACAATGGGGTTTCCTCCAGGTTTCATTTTCTTCATTATTTTGTTTAATTATTTCGGTGTGGTTGGTAAGAAAGGATTTTATCGAAATACAGATCAACTATCAATTTTTCCTTTTCTGCCTATTTCAATGAATGAGGATTTTCAGGTAGGAAAAACAAATAACTGATAGTTGATGTGTGTTTTGAGAATAAAAATTAAATAATAAAATTGTGTTCTCTCTAATAGTTTAAGTTTTTCGATGAGATGGTCACACATTTCAACATGATATCAAAACAGACACATATATTAAAACTTATTTTCAACTTTCCTTTTTTATTTTTCCCTAAAAGAGGATTTAAATTTTAACTTCTCAACGATGAAGAATAATACTCTCTCTGTCCCAATTTATATGACTCTTTTATGTTTTGAGACTCAAACAGTTTAAGTTTGACCGGTAATTTGCGCATGAAATCTTCAATTTTTTTGGAATGAAATTTATATATTTGTAAACTATGTAAAAAGTACTCTGAGTCACAATAATTGATGATTCAAAATGTTTAAAAGATCTATGAAAAATTTACGGTCAAAGATAAATTTGTTTGACTCTTGAAATTCGAAAGGTGACATATAAAATAGGACGGAGGGAGTATTACATTAGCGTAATCCTTCTCATTTATTGGTCGTATGACCATTAGTTTTGAAAAATTACGCTTTGTTTTCTGGTAGAGAGCCTAGCTTTGTAATTGTGAAAAGGTTGTAGAATTTGCTAGTATATGGTTGAATGTTAGGTTATAAACCATGGAGTGACACCTTCGTTACTGGAGGACTTCAAGAGAGAGGTTATTGAATTGTTTAGTCTTCCAATGGAAGAAAAGAAGAAACTATGGCAACAGGAAGACAGCTTGGAAGGTTTTGGGAATGCATTTGTTGTATCAGAGGATCAGAAGCTTGATTGGAGTGATATGTTTGGAATAATGACTCTTCCTCCTCGTATCCGCAAAGTGGACTTGTTTCAGAATTTGCCCTCGAATCTCAGGTGCCTATCTTCTTATAACTGTTAAGATGTCCCACATCGGTAGAGGGATGAGAATTTGGTCTCCTTATATGGACTTGGACAAACCTCCCCTCATGAGCTAGCTTTTGGAGTTGAGTTAGCTCCAAGTGTCATATCTTAACATGGTATCAGAGTCAGACTTATCCCAATTTATTATTGTTCAGTGTTCCCAATTTATTATTATTCAGTATTCACGCTCCAATTGAGGTCTGGGCGTGCGGGGGAGTGTTAAAATGTCCCACATCGGTAGAGGGATGGGAATTTGGTCTCATTATCACCTTATGAGCTAGCTTTTGGGGTTGAGTTAGGCTCAAGTGTCATATCTTAATAATAACTATATTACTTTATTCCAGAGATCACTGAACTATTTGATATAAGTGAACAAAATTGCTTTTCTTTCTTTTGTATCAAAAAAGTCAAGAAAATATAAAACATATCTTTGGTCTCCTCATCTCTTAGTTAATATGTTTGTGTGTTTGAAATGTAGGGACATCTTGGAAGCATACTGCAAAGAAATCAAGAGCGTAGCAATGATTATTGTATGTCAATTGGCAAAGGCTTTAAGGATGGCTGAAAAAGAAACGCGAGATCTATTCAGTGATGGTATGCAGTCAATGAGGATGAATTATTATCCGCCTTGTCCCGAGCCAGACAGGGCAATTGGCTTAAGCTCTCATTCTGATCCTGGTGTCCTCACCATCCTTTTCCAGCTGAACGAAACTGAAGGTCTCCAAGTCCAAAAAGACGATATTTGGGTGCCCATAAAGCCCCTCCCAAACGCTTTGATTGTGAATGTTGGGGACATGATGGAGGTAAATATTCTACTATCATTGAAAATATTATTTAAAATATTATGTGCGTAAATGTGTTATCTGACTTGGCAGATATTGAGCAATGGTGTGTATAGGAGCATTGAGCACAGAGCAATTGTAAACTCAAACGAAGAACTGCTCTCTGTTGCGACATTCTATTACATGAACCTTGAATCCGAATTAGGACCTGCAAACAGCCTCACTGGACCACATAAACCTCCCATTTTCCGAAGAGTTTCCGTGCATAAATATTTACAAGACTTTTTTGCACGAAAACTTGACAGAAAGTCGAACCTTGATTTCATGAAGGTAGAGATGAGTGATGGAGAATCGTAGCATTTGATACACTTGTACAAGTTATTGTTTCTGTTGTAATTTTGGAGTGTTTACGTCCTTATTTTTCTGTTATGTCATAGTCTCTAACTTACTGTGCCCTTGCCTCAATAAATATATGATAGTCTTTGATTGAATATAAAATTTGAAAAAAGTGATTTTTGAAAATTGTAGTTCAAAACAAGTTAGTAATAAATATTAATATACATATAAATTGTAAGAGTAAAATAAAAATTATAAGTTAAGTACTTTCAGAATATAAAGTTAATAGTATTATTTTTTTTAGACAACTTAAAAAAAATATATCATCACATAAATTAGGATAAAATGGGCTATTTTGCATGCGGCTCATTGATTTTTACCTAATGATCTGAAAAGTCGTGCATATAGACTGATGAATGGTTATACAACGTTGATACTTATTACTACCTCAGTTCATTTTTATTTGTCATTGCTTGAGTTGACACACATTAAGAAAACAATTATTGATATAAGTATTTTACCTCACTAACTCTGCCAATTAATATTTAGTATTGAATCTTGAAAAATGATATGGAGAATAGTATTTAATGATAAGGGTAAAATATGAAGAAAAAAAAATTGTGTTTTCTTGATATGTCAAAAGTAACAGGTAAAAATCAAAATTTATTTTAGGAATAAGTGATGACAAGTAAAAGTGAACGGAGGGAGTATCTACAAGCTAAGTAGGAATGAATAGTCTTGTTGCCGTCCTACATATTTACCCACAATTAAAACGTTGTCAACGCACCAACAAGGGTTGTGGTGGAATAGTAAATATTCCTTCATCCTTAACTAGAGGTTTCGGAAGTGTTTTATCCCATAATGTGAAACTTTTCTGTGCGAATCCTGATTTAGTCAGACTTCAATGTGGATACAGGACATTGGGTGGGAAACCAAATAGAAAACGTAAGTACCATCAAGTTTTATTGACCACACACGTAATAATCTAATTAGATCCTCCTAGATCCATCATAAAATAGTCTTGCGTCGTTGTCCTACTTAATTACTACCAGTACTAATCAATAGTCTTGGGTCGTCCTACATATTTATCCAACAATAAATTAAAACGTTGTCAAGGCAACGCACCATAAAATCTTACGCAATAATCTTTCCATCCTAGTTAACGATTTTGCTAGAAAAAAAATAAAGTTGATGATGGAAGAAGCAAGGTCGAGAAAGCTAGGTGGTTCTTTGAAAGTTCCTAACGTTCAGGAAATGGCAAAACAACAACTAGCAGGTGTTCCGCCGCGATATATTCGTATTAATGATGACGAAAATCAATTGTATAATTCTTCCATATTATTGCCTCATCAATTAGCTCCAGTTATTGACATGGAAATAATTAAAGATGACGATGATACAGAGCTTAACAGGTTTCATCTTGCTTGCAAAGAATGGGGATTTTTCCAGGTTTCATAGATCAAACACTCTTCATTTTTGTTTCATGTTCCATAACTTTTTCTCACACTAACCTCAGTATTTAATAAGGCAATAGTAAAATATATCTCTAATTAAATTGCGCAGTTGGTGAATCATGGAGTGAGTTCATCATTGATGGAGAAAGTGAAGTCAGAAATCAGAGCATTTTTCGATCTACCAATGGAAGAGAAGAAGAAATTTGAGCAAGAAGATGGAGATGTCGAAGGATACGGGCAAGCCTTTGTTGTATCTGAAGAACAAAAGTTAGATTAGAGTGATATACTTTACATGATCACTCTCCCTACTCATTTGAGAAAACCTCACTTGTTTCCAAAGCTTCCCACCTCACTCAGGTACCATAATATATACTAATTGAGTTTACGATAGTGAATGTTTTTTTCTATAGAATATTTAAGTTCTTGGACCTTCAAGGGATGCATTGGAACAATACTCAACAGCTCTGAAGGAACTTGCTATGAAACTTCTGTACGTAATGGCAAGAGCTTTAGGGATGAAAGCAGAGGATATGAATGTACTATTTGAACAAGACGGGACACAAATGATGAGAATAAATTATTATCCTCCTTGTCCTCAACCAGAGCGAGTAATGGGGTTCTGCCATCACACTGATTCTGTTGGTTTAACCATACTCCTTCAGGTTAATGAAACTGAAGGTCTTCAAATTAAGAAAGATGGTGCTTGGATTCCGGTTCCATATCGTCCTGATGCCTTTGTTGTTAACATTGGAGACATTTTAGAGGTGAGAAATAAGCGTGTTTGGTATGACAGAAGTCAATTTGTGGGTCGGGAAATATAAAGCTCTGTCAATTTTGTTTTTGCAGATTGTGACAAATGGAATTTACAAGAGCATTGAACATCGAGCCATCGTTAATGAGGACAAGGAGAGGATCTCTATTGCTACATTTCTGAGCCCTAAATTGAATGGAGATTTAGGTCCAGCAGCTAGCCTCCTCACTCCTCAATCCCCTGCAAAATATAGGAGGATTGGAATGGCCGATTATTTTAAAGGATTTATTTCTCGAAAATCATACATAGATACTCTAAGGATTGGAAATGGATATGATGGGAGCAATTGATCAATGTTGCATTTGGATACCAACAGCTTGTTAAATAATTTGGATGGATTTTTTTTTTTTTAGAATATAATATTAGAATAAATTGTGTCGTCTGTTGTGATTAATAACATCCTCATTTTCTGATTTTAATGTATCTTATCGTATAATGACCAAGAATTTTACCTAAATGTCCTCAATATTTGACGGGCTAATCGCTTATCACTTTATATAACTTGTTTTTAGGATTTTGATTACTCCATTTGTTTCAATTTAATTACGGGAGAAGTAGAAGTTAATTGATATGAAAAGATTGATCAACTCTAATGATTATGACTCCGAGTGTCATATTTTGATTAATAAATATTTAATATATTAGATATTTTGTACTAATATTTAATTTAACATAGCAGTAAAATGGTAATCTAACTTTGTATTTGGAGCTTTCCACTTTAGTAATATATGATATATGACGATATGATGTGATGTGCTGTATATTTTATTGAGAATAAAATGTTCTTTTGTTGTAGTATTATATTGGTATGAAGGAAATATAAAATTTGAGGCTACATTTTTTGAGCCCCAAATTGGATGGTGATTTAGGTCCAGCACCTAGTTTTCTCACTCCTCAATGCCCTGCACAATTTTGGAGGATTGGAGTTGCTGATTACAAACATATTCACTGTCCATCTTTAGTTTAAAATCAATTTAGGAATATTATTTACCTGGTTAAACTTCATGTCAAATCATAACTAAACAATCAAATTAAAACTCAGGTGTATATATGAAAAATAAAATTGATTTTTTTGAAAGTACGAACCATCCTAGATTTTTAGTAGAGCTTTCTAAATTTTTAGTATTTATTATATATAAGAAGTGTGTAAATGTTCTAGACAATTCTATTTATAATAAATCATAATATAATCTACATCTTGTAGTATCTAGAGCCATCTTACACAACTTCTAATTAATAGGAGTGAACTTAGTAATTTGTTATCATTCCAAAGAAAACATCTCAAGCCAATTCTAGTTTTTTCATTACGAAGTTCTCTAATCCAAAATCCTCCTTTCTCCTTTTATAGCTTTTCTTCTTATTTATTTGGATCTTTCGATTCTAATTAAAGATCTTTGGCTAATCGTAGGTTTTCATGATTATATTTTTCTTTTGTTATTCTCTACCGTAAGAAAGACTTCATTCTATGGAAGAAGCAAGGTCGAAAACCTAGCTGGCTCTTTGAAAGTTCCTACTTTGAAGGATTTTTTTCTCGAGAGCTCGTTGGAAAATCATACATAGATACTCTAAAGATTGGAAATGGAGATCATGGGAGCAATTGATCAATCTTGCATTTTATTTTGAGTGTCAGAATAGTCATTTTTTAATGTAAAATTGAAATTTGAACGAAAGTACCCTACTTAAAATATAGAATTAAGAACTATGAGCATTTGAACATTTATCGATTCAAACTCCATGGATGTGTTATTTATTTTCACTGTGTTGGCGTGAAAAATCTCCATTATTGCTACGTTGTCTCGTACCTGAATTCTAGAATAGTTAAATATTTTTATAGAATACGTACTCGTGTCAAAAGATTGGGTTAAATATTAGTACATGGTGTGTTGCTGGTAAGAAATGACATGTATTTTGTGAAATTTATCAAAGTATGCTAAAGCTTGAAATGAACACCACGCTCATAATAAAAAAAATATTAGTACTTTAATAGCTTTTGAATTGATGAGTAATACTATTTGATAGTTGACATTAAAAATGGTCATTAATTTGCCGGTGCTATTCATAAATTTAATTCCAACTACTCATTTGTCACTCCTATCCACAATATATATGGTGATGTTACGTTCTTATTGACCACACACGCAATATATATATAATTAGATCCGTCCTAGTCAATAAGTATAGGATAATCAATTTGGGACGATCATAAAATAGTTGAGGAAACAAGTGTTAATATATCAATATAGTATAGCCATGGAAACACGTACGGGAGAACAGCTACAAGTTAATTACAAGAAAGTTCCTTCTGTCCAGGAAATGGCCAAGAACAAACTTGTGACCATTCCATCGCGATATGTACGCGACAATCAGGACCGTTCATTCGTTGCATCATCAAATAATAAGGAAGTTCCAGTAATTGATATGCAACGATTGATCAACTCTAGCGATCATGACTCCATGAATCTCGAGCTTAACAAGTTGCACTTTGCAGCCAAAGAATGGGGTTTCTTTCAGGTACTTTTAATTATTTACATGTTCGGTGAATAGTTTGTCGTAGATGTTGTATTTCTGTTTAAAAATCTATATATAATTACATTTTGCAGTTGATTAATCACGGAGTTAATTCTTTATTGGTGGAGAAGATGAAAAACGAGATTAAAGAATTATTCAATCTTCCATTGGAAGAGAAGAAGAAATTTGAACAATCGTCAGGGGAATTAGATGGATTTGGACAACACTTTGTTGTCTCTGATGAACAAAAGCTTGATTGGGCTGACCTCTTTTACTTGAAGACTGCACCTCCATACTTGCGGATGCCTATATTTTCCAAGCTTCCCCTTTCACTTAGGTACGTTATTTAACGTTCCTAATTATCGATCTACTAATCATCTAGTTCATAATATTTAAAAATTTATTACAAAATTTTTGTTGACTTTTTTTTACACAAACAAGAAAGAATTTTTTAATATATATTTAAGAAAAAGATAATGTTGACTTAGAATTGTGGGATTGTAAAAATCTTTTAGGAGAAACTATATGAAAGTAGTTAGGGTTTTATTTTAATTAACTAAATCTTAGCCATTAAATTAACCATATGCCATGTGTCAGTAATCCAAATAGGAACTTGGAGAAAATGGAGATCAAGAGCTGAATCCAAAGTATTAGGATTTGAAATATGATTTGGGAATAAGTAATTACTATTAAAAATTAATAAGCAAATAAATAAAAATATCTTTTCTTGATTTATATTAAAAATGACAAGTTGAAACGAAAATCTATTTTTAAAACATACAAAGTAAAAGTGAATAAAGAGAGTATTATCTAGAAAATATACATCCTTAATCCCATATTTTTGGACTTAATACTATGTAGAGAGACAATTGAAGAGTACTCAGAAGAAGCAAAGGAGCTAAGCATCAAAGTTTTGAAAATGTTGGGTAAAGCTTTGGGGATTGATGAAGAAGAAGTGAAGAGTCTTTTCGAAGAAGGAATGCAATCAATGAGGATGAATTATTATCCACCATGTCCACAACCAGAAAAAGTGATGGGACTTGCTCCTCATTCAGATGCAACAGGCCTTACAATACTTCTTCAAGTCAATGATATTCAAGGTCTTCAAATTAAAAAAGACGAAATTTGGATTTCCATTTTACCTCTTCCTAGAGCTTTCATAGTCAATGTTGGAGATGTTTTTGAGGTACATATATACTTCTCTCATTCTCTTCTCTTTAAAAAATTAAAGTTAAATTATTATAAAATATATAAAGGTGGATTTCTTTTTGCATAAATTAAATAGAAAATATTATCATAGAAATTGATACGGAGAGAACAATGGATGGAAAAATTCAATTTTCCCTACTTACTAATTTTACGTGAATATATATTTGACCGAGCGCAAAATTTTAGAAATAGAAAGACTATTTTGAACTTTTAAATCTCAAAGGGCATCATGACATCTTTGGTTATAAATCATGTTATGGAGAGTAAAATGATAAATTTAAGATTAATTTGTCTCCAAAAGCCGGAGGAAATTATCATTTTATAAGGACGAATTAAAAAGAAAAGTATATCACTATTAAATATGTGAATTCGAATATTTCCTAATAAAAATATTACTTTTAAAGAACTTTATTTTTGTTTCTTTTCTTTTAAAATCACTTTAAATAATAAATAAATAATACTAATAATTTTTTTATTCTTAATTTCATGATACTATCAATTGAAATGGAATAAATATATATTTTTGCCTCAGTAAATAACAATAAGATCATTTTTTGGATTAAACTATTGGCAGCGAGAATATTTTGAGATCAAACTACTAATCGAAAACATTTTTATTCAATTTCAAGCATTTTTTACTATTTTCCATCTGTTTTAATTAGTTTACTCTTTGAGCTTTACCTAAAGGTCTTAATTTTTGGCCAGATTTTCTCAAATGGAATTTACAAGAGCATAGAGCATAGATCAGTGGTGAGCTCAGAAAAAGAAAGGATTTCAGTAGCAACATTTCATAATTCAAGATTGGATGGTGAATTAGGTCCAGCTAATAGCCTTATTAATGCTCATAATCCACCAAAATTCAAAAAAATTGAAGCCACTGAATTTTATAAAGGATATCTCACACGTGAACTTGTTGGGAAATCATATGTGGACACCATGAGAATTAATTAGTAGTTGTATTATTGGTACCTACATAAAATCCTTCGATTATGAAAGGATTAAAACAAAATAAATAGCCCCCCCCCGCTTGATATAATATGTGATGAATAGATATAATTATAATATGCATTACATTGAAAATGCATAAGTTAAGGTAATTCCGACTTCAAATATATTATTGGCTAATTTGATTGGTAATTTGCATTTTTAGTATACATTTAATGAACAGACAACGACGACAACAACAATATCAAACAGTTTTCTCTTGTGCTAAAAGTTACTCTAATGATGGATCTTAGATTTTTTGTTTGATCAAGCTATCAAAAACTTCTTATTTTATAAAGTACTTTTGTTTAAAAAATAATTGAAAAAAATACTTTTTGAGAGAAATATGGTGGTTGACAGACGAGATTGATGGTGACAACTGACGCTTAATGATTGTGGTGGATGATTGTAATAACTTATGGGTGATGGTGATGAATAATTAGTGACAATGGTTGGCAATATATAAAGTATTGGTGATGGGTGGGTGGTGATAATGACCACTGATTATAAAGATTGACAATGATAATGGTTATTAGTGGTGGATGGGCATGTAATTGATAATAGTGGATGATAATTGTAAATAATGGCTAGTGACTATGATAACGACAACTGATTATAACGATCGACAATGATGATGTTATTAGCGGTGGATCATGGCATGTAATTGATCATAGTGGATGACAATCTATATTCTATACAGGGGCGGCTCAACGTAGTTGGGGGCCTAAAACGAAATTCCAATTCGAGGTCTAAAATATAAACAAATTTCGTATACACATTTATTCAAATTTTATTTCTATAAGCAATAAATTGACAAATCTATATATATATATATATAAAGGAGAATGTCAGACTTGCTTATGTGGCATGCCTCTAAGGCGAGTCCGGAGCCTATAGGGCAAAAAAAATGTCAAAAATTCCAAAAGGGCACATCACTTTTTATTCTAACCAAAAGGGCAAAATCACTGCCCTAGCAGCGATTTTGTCTAAAAAAAAATTTTCTTTTTTTTAATTAAAAATCACTGTCAAAGCAGCGATTTTGTAAAAAAGAAGAAAAAAAAAAAATTATTAAAAACCGCTGCCACAGCAGCGATTTTGTTAATTTTTTTTTATTATTATTATTAAAAATTGCTGCCATTGTAGAAAGAAAAAAAAAATTGTTGTGGCAGCGATTTTAAGTCAGAATTTTTTTTTTCCTTACACATCGCTGCAGGGGCAGCGTTTCTCATGCCGAGTGCTATTATTTTCATGCCTATTATTACTTATTAATAATATAAAAATGATAAACAAGACGACAGTATACTCAATAAAATTATTGAAGCATGAGGAAAATTGAATTATATATCATAAATAATAATAAAAGAATATTAAATTCAAGCCACAAATTAGATTTTGAAGAAAAAAAGTTTTTTTTTTTTTGAGAAAATATGCAGCGATTTTTATTTTTTGTTTTGTCAGAAGCCCTTTTTGGTTAATTTTTTTTTTGATGTGCCGTTTTAGTTTTTTTAAAGAAAAAAGCAGCGATTTTTAATAAAAATAAAAAATAAATTTTTCTACAAAATCGCTGCAGTGGCAGCGATTTTTAATAAAAAAAATAAAAAATTTTTTTAGACGAAATCGCTGTTGATGCAGCGATTTTGCCCTTTTGGTTAGAATAAAAAGTGATGTGCCCTTTTGGAATTTTTGACAATTTTTTTTGCCCTTTAGGCTCCGGACTCCCTCTAAGGCCACCATTCTTTTTTTGGCCTTTTTTTTCTTATTTAAATTAGTTTATTACTTAGATATATATTTACAAAGAACAAAATTCTTTATTACAAGAGAAATATGTTACTGGAGAGTTTAAAAGTTACACTGTTACGGAAGACTTAGAGACGTGTTCCGTTATCAAAAACCAAAAAGTTTCTGCCGTATTTATCTTACCCTCATTCCGTTACTCTCACATCTTCTATTTATTCCTTCTTTTTGGTTGTCTTCTCTTGTAGCTATGTCGTCCTTCCTCTAATCATTTCCTTCTCATTTCAATTCATATTTTATATAAAAGGAGCATACTCATGAATGGTGAAAAGATGAAAAGAAGACTAAAGAGTGATTTCAGTATATGAACAAAGATGCTTTCATCGATGGTCACTTGATATCAATGATCAATTTGTGGTAGTGAAATTTTTTCTTTATTGTATTGGAATTTCAAGTATATATATATATATATATTTTGTATAATATGTAATAGTACCATATAATTAGTTACTGTACTAAATTTCTTTGACTTGTACGTAATTGTTGAACCATTTATTTTTTTGTTTTCCCATCTGGTGTTCGAAGTTTGCATTGAAGCTCCGATTAAATTCAAATAGCACAGGATCCATCCGGGAGTACGGTGAAGCTCCCATAGAAACATATTATGCATCAACTTTTCGAGTCTCTTTGTTTTTTATAAAATATTCAGAAGGTGAAGTTCATCATTAATTTGATTTGTCTTTTAAGCTTGGCTAATAGTTTTTCCTTCTCAATTTGAGTATGTGATAATATTGGATATGTCAAGTTTGCATCAAAGTGTTAGTTCTAAGTTGATTGAATCTCGATCCACTGCAGAGGTAAAATGAGGCGTTATTGCACATATGTCATTGTTTATTTGTTATATTGTTCAAAAAAATTGTAAAATTACTGATCAATGAGATTATGAAAATTTTCGGACTGTTTCATTTTTTTGGTGAGCCTGTATTTATTGAAAAAGAAATTGTTAAATCAATTTGATCTCAAAAATAAAACAAACTACTTAGACGGCATAACTATATTGATTGGTAATTTCCTTTCATTTGTTATTAAAAATATGAAAGCATATATGATACTGAGGAGATGGATTTGGCTCATTTCCATTAAAATAATAATAATAATAAATCAAATCGGTGCCCACAAGAAGAGATTCAAGATGAGTTATACTTTTATTCACCCTTATTTATTTATATTCTTCTTATTTCTTCCTCACTTTTAAGTGAAACTATAATTTTTATGCTTAGTAGCATGGTAGTGCTGCTTTTGTGTATTTATATTATACAAATTTCATTTTGTTGGTAGATAGGTCTGCTTTCGTGTCATTTTATTACACATATATCATTTTGTTGGTAGAAACAATTATTTTAAACTAAATGTAGGGATTAATGTTTTTTTATTATCTTTATTTACTTATTTGTGTTAGTTTTTGTATTTTTCATTTTTCATCTATTACGTTTATATTTTTTTATATATAAAAAAGATTTTTTGTACGCAGACAAGTACACTAGAGAATGTGATGTGACATCTCTTTTGGCTTCCATTTTCATTTATACTTTCTCCTTTTTTCTTTATTTTTTTTCATTAAATAACTTATTAATAAAAAAAAATCAATCATATTTACTATTCTAATTATATCTTATAAGTTACAAAAAAAACCTCCATATATTTATCTTCTCTACTTAAATAACATGTCTCTTCAACTTCTTTTATAACTATTCTTATGGTTTGTCAAATCTATAAATACCAATTATCTATGGAGATGTTCAATGTTCATTTTCATTTTCTCATTCTTTTTTTTTTTTAGTTTAGTTTTTTCTCCTATTAAAAAAAATTATTCATCTTTTTCATCAATCATGTACTTAATAATGTTACGATATGACCTTCACTTTGATAAAGATGATAGATATATTCTTCAAAGATTCATGATAGAGATGTTTGGTATAAGTTCATCAAAATGAAGAAGCTAAGGAAGCTTAATTATCTTAGAAGATTCATCAAAAGAGATGCTCATATTAGTATAAAAGTTTGAATGGTTTTCAAACATTATGAAGATTTATTAATGTATTGTTCTGATTTCAATTAATATTAGTTTATTCTTTTTAAATTTTTTTTTTTTGATCAAATATATTAAATTTCCTTTTATTCAACAAAAATTAAATTATGAAACTCTACTAACCAACATATTAGAAAGTTCAAATAGCATTTATTATTAATTAACTTTGC